ATATGATTGAAATTATATCACTATGATATACTTATTCAACACACCCACACCCACACACCCTGAATAACTTTCGGTAGTTCAACCAATAATTGATTGAATGATTTTACATCATTTGCATAAAGTGTAAATGAATTTGATCGATTTACTTGTATATTCATGACTCTGACATCTGGTAAATGAATTCTGATGAGATGACTTATTTTAACTTTGGTGAGTGACTCCACTTCAACAATCAATGGTGCAATTCTAAATTGCTGTTTCATATTTGATGATTGTTGTTTTTCATGTTCAATTGCAGATTGCTGTGATGCGTTGATGATTGGTGTCCCTGTCCTTGGATTATCTTGTTCACCTTTTTTTCTTCCTCGAACACCTCCGCCTCTTTTTGGCGGCATGGTATTGGTGTTGTCAGATAGAACGGTTTTTATTGATTTATTTATTAATTAATAGTTTGGTGATATTTTAATAGTTTATTAATTAAGTATATAAATATATATATATTTTTTTTTTGTATAAAATTTTAAAATTGTCCTTGTTTGACCTTTCAGTGCAAACAAGAAAAAGAATACGAAAAATTACGTCTAATCGATAGGGTGTAAGAAAGAGGAATGGTTTCATAACTCACAAAATAAAACGCAAATACAATGATGAAAGAGTGTTGTTCTTTAGTATTCACTGAAGAGAAAAAAGGAATGAAGCCTATAAAGTTCCAGTAGAAGACGAAAGTGGCATTCATTTGCGTCGCTTTTTCTTTTACAGGTGAGTCTCACTGCAAATTTGAGTTCGTTTTTTCTTTTTCATGATCAACTTTTTTCGAGAAGAGGTAATGTTGCTTGTGACAAGTTGTTTTCGCGTGGATACAAAATTATCAAATGTTGTTTGTTTATCCCCAGAAAAAACTCATCCAACGCTTGAATCTTTAATGTTAGAATCATATAGAGCCCTCCAATAGAACTCTCATTGGAATATGATCGATTAGAATGAGCATTAATCACCGTTTGAAAATTTCGACTATGCGAAGACTTAACTTACTAAAATTCAATAGCCGCACAGTAGAATCTAGTCAAATATCATTTCTGAATTTCATTGATGTTTCAGATCGATGATTTTGACCTTGGGATCCGATCGGATTCATCTGAGAAAGAATGCTCTTCTGATGCTGTTTCGGTCGGTGTCTCAAGGGAGATCAATGGCACTGACTGTAATTTCACCACAAAGGAGTTGTTGTTTGACGGATCCGGCACGCTTCCAACGTTAGAATCATTTTCACAAGCATCTGAGCAGCTAGGAAGATGCACATTAAACTGATTATTTTTCTCGTTAAGAATTAAGAGAGGGTTCGCCAGAAAACCACACAATATAAAGGCACTTGGCCGGGAAAAAAATTTGATTTAGGATTTGATGATTTGAAACGAAAGGCAGTTCAGACGTATTACTAAATCCAAAATATTAGCTTGATCTGACTATCCGTCGCTGAGCTGTGAAGTACACTTCGACAGAGGGGTCAATACGCTTAGACAAAAAATGGTAATTTTTCGTATTTTTCACGTGCTACAAAAGCACTCTGCTGTGCGAAGCATTAACGTAGTGATCAGTGTTTCAAAAGAAAGAGCATTGTTTTTTGTATTAGACCATACCTTTTCGAACTTTCCACAAGCACTATTATGTGGACAAACATGGGTCAACAAAAAATTTTTTGGCGAAAAACTACTTTAAATTTTCGCTTTTTTTTCTCACTATTTCCACCCTTTAGACCTCAGAATGGAGGTTACCCATAGATTTTATGACATGAGAAGATAGCCCGTGAAAAGTGCGTCTTCTGATGTAAAAATTTCTGAAGAAAACGATATCTGGCTGATTCAACTTTTTTCAACAAAGGTTACAATTGAGCAGTTTTTATGCCAATTTCTATCGTTTTTTTATGGTTATCATTTTTCATTAATAGTTTACTCAAAATATCTCGATTAAAAAAGAAAAAAGACACCATATTTGGGATCAGCGTAAAAACCTACACAAACCCCAACAACCTTCAAAGAAAAACATTTTTTATGAAAAACTTACCTGTACTTCCCCACGGCTTTCTTTGAAGGAAAATTGTCCTTGGGGGAGTAACACGGAAGTTTTTCATAAAAAATGTTTTTCTTTGAAGGTTGTTGGGGTTAGTGTAGTTTTTTGCGCTGATCCCAAATATGGTGTTTTTTCTCTTTTTAAATCGAGATATTTTGAGTACATTATTAATGAAAAATGATAACTATAAGAAAACGATAGAAATTAACATAAAAGCTGCTCATTTGTAACCTTTGTTGAAAAAAGTTGAATCAGCCAGATATCGTTTTCTTCAGAAATATTTACATCAGAAGACGAACTTTTGACGGGCTATCTTCTGGTGCCATAAAATCTATGGGTAACCTCCATTCTGAGGTCTAAACTGTGGAAATACGGAGAAAAAAGCGAAAATTTGAAGTAGTTTTTCGCCAAAAATATTCTTTGTGGGCCCCTGTTTGTCCACATAATAGTGCTTGTGGAAAGTTCGAAAAGGTATGGTCTAACAGGAAAAACAATGCTCTTTGTTTTTGTAAGAGTCATGGCTATGTTAATGCTGGAAATAGTGGAGTGGTTTTGTACTACATTAAAGGTGCAAAAAATGATCATTTTTTGTCCAGGTCTATGAACACCCCTATCGAAGTGTACTTCAGAACTCAGCAACGGATAGTCAGATCAAGCTAATATTTTGGACTTAATAATAACTATCTACCATCTTTCTTTTCACATGATCAAATCCAAAATCAAAACTTTTCCCCCGGTCATGATATCTGGTATTCTGGCGGACCCTCTCTTAACTTGCCATAATGAATACATTTTATTACACCTATAAGTAGAGAGTGTGGGTGAGGATTCTACGAAGAGCAACATTCATACTCACACCCACACCCTTCCACAATTTCAGCTGTTCTCAGCCGCTTACGAAAGCTTTCACCAACATTTTAATTACTTGTAAACCCCTGTTTGAGTTGTTAGTGTGTATAAGTGCTTGAATCATAGATGGAATCGATAGAAGTTATCGATGACCGGTATCGTTGTCGAGCTAAATTGATTAGACCGACACGACGTAGTCAGTCATCGATAATGGTCTCATCTATGATTTAGAGCTAAGAATCATTTTGAATCACATGCTTAGAATATAGTTTCAAATAGCAACAACAAAATGACATAATACGTGTAGAGAAGGGAGCAACGATGATTATTATTATACTTTTGTTGTGTCTTATTTTTAGAAACAAAATAAATTGATTCATATGGCCTTCTCAGCTGATGCTATTGAACGACAAGCAGTGTGTCGACATGGGTTTATTGGATCACTGTATGATATTCGAACAGATAAACTGGAAGGCACAAACTTATTCAAAAAAAAACTACCAGAAGAATTCATTGATGTTAGTGACATTGCTCATACCAGTTATGAACTGCTTTCCAACAATTCACAAAAGGAAACATTCGATAAAATGAATATCGAAGCAAATTTGAAATTAAGCTTGATGGCTGGTATGGTCGAAATAAGTGGATCGGCAAAATATATGAAACAAACAAAAACAGACAGTCGCACTATTCGGGTTACATATATTTACAAAGTGAAAACAAAACAAGTGCAGTTACATGTTTCAATGGCTGGTTTGTCTGACTATTTTTCAGATGATGCATTGGAAAATCCCAATGCCACACATGTGGTGACTGGAATCATGTGGGGAGCAAATGTTGCTGCTACATTTGAACAAGTAGTCGAAGATCACGAGCAACTGCAAACAATTGAAGGATCATTATCAGTTGTATTGAAATGTTTGCCAATCAGTGGTGACGCAAAACTCAACCTTGAAAATAAAGACAATTCCAAATTTGAAAACTTACAAATCAGTTTTTCTGGTGATATTCTTATCAATGAATGTCCACAAAGTATTAAAGACGTGATGAATGTCCTCAAATCAGTCCCAGATCGAATTAAACCATTGAATGAAGGAAAAGGACAACAGCTTGTGTTTGTCTTGTATCCATTAAAACGAATGGCAGAAATTTTCAAGCATGAATTACAAATTACTAGGTAAGCGAGTATAAGTTGGCTACACCTGCAAGTCTTACTTAAATTCATCAATGCTTTTTAGGATGATAAAAGAAGTATCACATCTTGTCGTCATGCGTATTGAGAATATTTTTGAAGATATATCGAAGGGAAAGAGAAAATTCAATGATTTTCTTAACGAAATTAAACCATGGGAAGACTATGTTTCACGTGTTTGGCTAAATGAAATTGACCAAAAGCGAACTCAACTTATTGGAGCTGAATTGAAAACACAACGTGAATTGTCAACTTTATTGCAAAAGATTCGTGGTGGTAAGGCAGAAGAATCTGAAATGGAAAGATTATTGGACAATTTCGATCGTGAAAATCCATGTTCATCAATGCCAATTGAACGATTCTTGAGAGAAAAACGAAATGTTACATCAAAAATTGGAATATTAAAACATTTTACATCTGGAAAAAATTTGTTGAAAGAAATAACAAGCATCGAAGACCTTCTATTCAACTACTATGAACAAGATGTGTATTTGTTGCATATATCTGAAAAGTGGCAAATAGAAGACAAAGCAAATTCGTTGAAGCAGTTGAGATATTTTAAAAATTTGATGAACAGTAAAAAGGGAGTAAATGATGGAGAATCAAAGGATACAACCGTCAATTCCGCTTTTATTGTGATCGATTATGACTTACATGGTACTGATTTGGAGCAGGACGAGAATAAAGCAAATAAATGTTGCATTTATTTTGCAAAACATGGAAAAATCAAATCTAAAGATTATTTTAAAGAATCATTAAGTAAGTTTAGGAAATCATTATACTTGCTTAAAGTGAAAAGAACATTTTTAAACAAATTTCGGTCACAGAGTAATCGATTCTGATCAAATAATGTACTGACTAGAAGAAAAGACATTTCGACTGAAACAGAATTTTCTTGTGTTTTAAAGAGAATTTGTATTTGAAGAACTTGAAATATTGATGCTTCTTTCTTATTTTAGCAAAGTTATCACATGATCATATTTCATCAATTTTAAAAGAAAACTCGATTCTTTCAGAAAAGGACATTTTAAAGTGGCACAAAGACTTTATGAATGAACAGTGAGTACTAAGGAAATTTGCATTTTTTCAAAGCAGTTATTGTACATTGCTTAATTCTATGTTTAGTCCAACAGGAGAACTAACAGAAGATGAGTTCGTTGATGAATTAAAAAAACTGTATAAAAAGTACGTTGTACCAGCAGATGTGGTTTCGACACGACATGATAATGTACTCTTCTTGTTTGATATGTTTAGTGGAAATCCTACAAAGTTTTGCGACTATGTATGGACAGCAGTTGATAACGACAAGAGTGGCACAATTAGTTTTTGTGAATTTATGAATGTTGTCGCCCTAACATCGACTGGAAATGGAGAAAAAAAAAGAAAACGTCTTCCCTTGGTAGGTCTAAGCGAAAACGTTTTTTGAATCATGTCCCTATATTCAATTCGGTGTTTTTATCTAGATATTTCACGTTATGGATCGCGATAAGGGTGCCGTCAATTTTCAAGAACTTGTCAAGTTTATTGAAGTTGTCACCGAGTTGGTCCAAGGAGAAAATGCTGTCGATACACCTTACATAAGAGGCATTGCCAAACAAATGCTTGAAATGAATACAAAATATGTAAACGATGGAAAGTTGTCAAAAGAAGAATTTATCAACTGGTATGAATTTTGCCTTGGATTTTTCGTGAATCTGTTTCCTCTTTCTTCCTTTAGTTTCACAGGGCGGAATACGAAAATTGACTGTGCATTTTTACCTGACATTGCAGGTAAGAAATTTTAAGAGAGACTTCATGAAGCCATTGAGCATTGTGCCATAGGTTAATTTCATGATAAAAACTCACATATATTTTTTTAAATATTAATCGATTCTAGGTACGCACCAGTGCCAGTTAACTGGGTACCCAGTTCTCAGTTCAACACTAGCACTGGTGAATACCTAATCGATTCCTCATACAAAACTAGGGTTACGAAAAGCGTTTTAGGCTTCTGTGATCTAATTTGACGGAGTTATAGGTATTGGAATGAGAGGGGGTCTGGAAACCTACGAAAACAAATTTGTTCCTCGCTTCGCTTATATCTTCGTCATGTTTTGTTCGTTTGGATTTGGCAACGTCTCATTTGAAAGAGCGTCTAAAACTAAACCAAAAGTCTTTCACAGATTCCTAAAAAACTGAGTCTTCATATCATAAAACTTTTCCTTCTAAAACACTCCGCATTTTATCTACCATGTTTGTTTTCATTATAAGTATTTTTTTAATATGATAATTATCTGGCGGTAGACTTTAATCTAGTGCATCTTGTAGAAAATCTCGCGCTTTACAAAACCCTTATAAATTTTATGGGGAAAAAGTTCCACAAAAGACCAGAAAATACATGGTAACATCATTCCATGACATGAATTTGTGTTTTTTTGCCTTGTATTTAGCAGATTTCGGTTAGAAAAATGATGATTTGATCAAAACTAATATCATATTATGAATCCGCATAAAAAACGGAGCCCACTTATGTCTATTTCAAATAGTTTTGAGACAATTTGTTTCATCAAAAAATTTCCCCTACTCTGCCTCACCGAATAACTGAACCCTGAGGGGGAGCGTAGGGGAAATTTTTTAGATGGAAAAAAAAGTCTCAAAACTATTTGAAATACACATAAGTAGGCTGAGGTTTTTATGCGGATTCAGAATTAGATTTGATCAAATCATCATTTTTCTAACTGAAATCTGCTCAATACAAGGCAAAGAGGCACAAATTCAAGTCATGGAATGATGTTTCCATGTGATTTGTTGTCTTTTGTGAAACGTTTTTCTCATAACCTTTATAAGGGTTTTGTAAAGCGCGAAATTTTCTACAATATGTACTAAACTAAAGTTTCCAGCCAGATAATTACCATATTAAAATAAATGCGGAAACTTCGGATTTAAATCCGAGAGTTATGTGTACTTCAAAAAGTGAATCATACAAATCAATCATCCTAGACTGTCTGAATATCAAAATTATACTGTGAAATCTACCATTTAAAATGTTGATTTATATTGCGCGTTGCCAAACCAATAGGATATGGGACCGAACTAAGCTCAAGTTTGAACTCTGCACCTTGATTTACTATAAGAAAGTCGTTTTCCCTATAACTTCATTTCTATTGGTCACTGCACAACTAATAGTATTCCGATGGAAGTGCAGTACACATTCGAGTTCTCGATATCTGAAAACCTCGAAGTATCATCAGTGTAATCGGAAGATAAAGCTCTATTTGTGGATCAATTAGATTGTGGACCAAAATATAACCTAGTTCTCTTTAATTATCTTTGTCATAGGTTAGTCAACGTTCTTGGTTCTTTATGTTTTATATATCATTTTGTAGTACTTGAAACTTTCTATCGAATGGTATATAATAGTTGGGATTTTAATTGACTATGATAGGAAAAGTCTTTTACGAAAGTCGCGATGGGTCCATTTTTCCACAGAAAGCTATAGGGAAAAATAGGTATTTTTGCAATAACTCAGGAACGGCACGACCGGTCTTTCTCATCTTCGAACTCGGCCGAGGTATTGCCAAGACTAAGCTGTGTAGAAAGTTTCATCACAATCTGACTCTGTTGTCAAAAGTTATTATGTAAACAGCCAATCGGACGGACGGACACACTGTTTATTCTATAGTCTACTCACTTTTTGAGTACACAAAACTATGATTCGATTCAAAACTAATATCAGATTCAGAATCAGCGTTAAAGACTGAGTCGATTTATATATGTTGTGAACAATTCAGAGAAAAAAATTTTTTTTTTTGAAAAAATCCCTGTACCCCCCCTCAGGGATGGTCTGGTCAAAAATCACAATTTTTTTTATAACTCAGTCATTTCTCGACGGTTCCTTCTCATCTTCGAACTCGACCGAGATATTGTAAAGACTGAACTGTGTAGAAAATTTCATCGCGATCTGACTCTCCTTTCAAAAGTTATCGTGTATACGGCCGGACATACTGACCGATTCTAGAGTGTACTCACTTTTTGAGTACACAAAAAAGACTTACAATGAAAAAAAACTTGGTTTATAAAATGCGGAGTATTCTTAGAAGGATTTTTAATAAGTATGAAGCACATGATCGTTCAGGGCGTTGTTATGGAAGTCCTTAAAACATACCAATCTCATAAGCCATATTTTTAGGCGAATATATCTCAAAAAAGAGGGTGGCAAGTGATTGAATTGAAACTCTTTATATGTACAAATATCTAAGGATTTAATTTTCCAAACATATATAAATCAAAGTCTTGATGTGGGTAACGTGCCTATTCTAGTCAATTTTTGATTATGTATCTGATGACTCTTGATGGTGATGAAGTCTTTTTAATGTTGAGTATCTAGGCAATTTATCGCGTTGAATGTAATGATGACATTTCTCTTTGAGACTTATTAGTAAAGTTAACTCCCTGTAAGGTTCAAATTCCTGTAATTTTAGTTACTTGCTGATGATCTTCATCAAATCATCATTTAAATCTGTTGCTTTCACCTGAGGCAACAGTTACTAATGAGATTGCAATGGTTCATATCCAAAGTAACTATTCAACTTTCAAGATACAGATAATAGTCAATTGATATGAGTGAGCATATGTGTTTGGATACAAAAAACGAATGGAGTGACGAAGGCTTTTTTAATATTTGGAATACTCTCAGAATCTACATAAGTGAAGCCCATTCATCCGAGCCATTATATGTAGATATCCAGCAGTCTCAATTGACTGACGTATCATTCATTGAATGTTGGGTATTTTCTTTTCACCGAAACGCATCATAATGTTTTGAATATGATGCTGGCCAAGTAGGTATAAGCGTGCGATGATGGAGAATCGAATACTATTATGCTTTTACAGACTCATCCACCTCGTCTTACCAAACAGTGGACTATAATAGGATAGTGCCTGAAGTAATCAAGTATTATAACCTTCTTTCTAAGTACTATTTTCCATATAAACTGACATCTTGTCAAAAATAGGTCGTTCAATATTTATTTTGTTGAACGGCACATTTCTTTTAACCTTGTTGACGATATGAAAAAAACTCAAAGAAAGTTAGACAATAGAGAAAAGCATGATTGTTTTTTATTAAGAACTCTCAATTACTACTAATTACGTTCTTTTAAGTTTTACATCCGATTTCAGAACGTTTTATTTTATGCTAGACATCACAAATGTATCTCCAAAAGAGCAGTGTCACATATCCAAGCCAATAAAAAAAAAGCCTCCGCTATGTTCTATGCATATGAATGAACTTCTGAGAAGAAAGAGCGCATCTTCGACATATCTAAGTTTATGCTATCTCTCATTGGAGTTTCCGCGGCAGTTTGTGTCCCAAGGCACAGTGTAAACAATAAAACAAAACAGATTTAACAGAAGATGCACTGTCCCAAGCTCAATTAATCGAGAGTTGTTTTCATGCATCACAGATTAGCTGTTAGTTTGCATCTTCTAAATACCCCAGATTATGGCCTTGTGATGCTACTTCGTTTCTTAGAGTAACAAAATAATTAGCAAAAATTGAGTTTTGAAACTTTATCTGCTATCGTAGTGTCTATACTTAAGGATGTACGAATATCAGTTACTATAGTAGTATCCCATGAAAAGAGAATATTGGCATCCAGTATAAGTGCTAATTTCCTTGAGAAAGAAACCAAGATTAAGGGGCCCCCCTCGGGAAATCCGATTTTTCAAAGAAAAGGCGAAGTCGATTTTTTTTATCATAGAAAGATTCCTCGCACTCTCCTCTTTCTGAATATATATATTATTTTGAAAAACGATTAAGTTTCAACAGACTTATTCAAGAAAAATTCTCTTACCTCCCCTCCTACCATACACCTTTTTAAAACTTCCTAAGGGTTTCTCTCAATGGATGGCTTCCAGGTACGGAAATTAAAATAACTCTAGCTTGGCTCGGGATATCCCCGATATTTTTATTTTATTTTAAAGGTCTCAACTAGAGCTAACTTTTCATCGGATGGATTTTTGATACTAGATTCCTGGACCAAGAAAAGTTTGATTTACTGCGTTTTTTATACCTAATTTGGAAGTGACATCGAATAAAATGCTTATAAAAATGACTAGAAGCTAATTTCAAAATTCTGTTCGATGAAAAGTTGCACATGGAGACTAGCTTTAGTTTAAAAACAGCCCGACCTCGATAGCTCTCATAGTGATGCAGTTATTTCGATTATCTTGGAAGCTATAAAACAATTCATAAGTCTAGTAAAGTAAGGTATACATGGCTGAAATTTTTACCACAAGCGTTTCTCACTAGGCCCATTCATTTCTGAAAGTTTCAGCCCAAACCTATACTCCAAAGTGGCAACTCGATTCTGATGGGGGGACCTTAAACAAAAACGTTTTAATCGAGAGTCATCTGCTTTAGAAGAGAATTATCTTCTGCGCTCACGAGACAATATTAGACAAAATGAGATGCATTATTTTTTCTTTATCGAAGAGCAGTTAGATTGG